ACCTACAGTCACGTGAACGAAATACAGGCCCAGTGGCATTTATAACTGCATTTTGACCACATATTTACTGTTGCCAACTGCCACCACCACTCATCTGCCTGCCAATGCACCCACTACACAGTACAGTATTAACTGCCAGCTGGCGTCTTTCTCATGCTGTCTTTCACACCAGGGCTTGTTGGGGTTTCTCTTGCCCAGCGTCTGCACCTGCTCTGGATGTCAGTTCACATACCCAGGCCTTTTGCAAAAAAAAAATCTAGGTAGAATGATCCTCCTTTCACATCTCTGCCTTTTTTGAGAGAGACTTGTGAAAGGAAGTCCCAGGTATGCCAGCATGAAAGGAGCCTTCTAGATGGCTACTTTCTGAAAAAAGGTCCTAATTGGTGCACAAATGGAGGTACTGGGTGAGGTATGAATGGCAGCCCTGGTAGGGAGCAAGAGGAGCCCTGGTGGCAGTGGTGCAAAAGGCAATGTGAAAAATGGCCCAGCTGGTACAGTGATGGGACACAGATTGGCAGGTAGCAGTGGGTGGCAGGAGCAGCTGGTAACTAGGCTGACAGCCAAAAGAGGAAAAGATTTAGGGAGATAAGCAGGTGGGGGAAATTCAAGACAAGGCAGTTCCTTATATTATCTAGGCTTGGGATCGAGAGGGACCAAGCCTGGAATGGCTTGGCTAACGACTGATGGGATGTCACACTTTACCACTGCAGCATTTAAAAACAAATTCTGGTCTCAATTGCCAAGGACTACCTACACTTTTCTTTGGCAACATACAAAAGAGATTTGTAATCTGCCTTGTAGGATTCCCCCTCCCCTTTTCTAGTCTTCACTCCCTCAAATCTCATTCTCAACTTTTTCAACTGATGCTACATTAAATTCAAGCATATTAGAGAATGGTGAAATTTCAAATACTGATCCTATCAAGTTTACAATCAGTATCATTTTTCATTCTTTCACCAAATTAGACTTGTAATTCATAGAGAAAGGAGAATCATCCCAATCCTTATGTGTAATTTGTACATAGCACAAGAAGCCACCATCTGGATGGGCTTGTGAAACACCAATAACCTGCACACAGCTGCTAACACTATTCTGATAGCTGAAAATATGGATAATCTGCAAGTAGTCCGATTCTTTCTACTAATAAAAGGAACAGTGAAAAAATGACCAATTTATAAAGAAATAAAAACAAATGATATTTAGAATGTGACTTCTGATAGCTGAAATATGGATGACCTGCAAGTAATCTGATTCTAATAAAATAGTGAAAAAATGACTAATTTATAAAGAATAAAAATAAATGATATTTAGAATGTGACAAAACTTTTGAGGTAGTAGACAGTTTCTGCATTTTATATCAACAATAAACCAGAATTTTTATTTACACACACATACACGTACACTATTGTAGTACTTTATAAGGCAGCAATGAAGGCCAAGGAAAGATACTCAAATGCCAGGTTGTATCATGCAGGTAATTTTTTCCCCTGTTCTAGGGAAACAAAAGTTGGATTTGAAGTGTTTAGAATCAGTACTGATGCTTTTGAATTTTGATGTCAGATCAGACTTCTGAGAATGCAATGGATAGTGAGGAAAACAAATGGATCATACACAAAATCTCTACAATAGAGAGCTCTCACTTGAGGCACAAATAACCATACTGAAATCAGCTATTAGATACTTTATGCAATGATCTATATCTCTTAAGAAACCTGTAACACTGAGATAGGAGGAAGGCCAACCTGCAGCAAGAGCTTGATTACAGTGGGAATTGGAAGTCTTGAAGAATCAGGTTCACAACAAATCATCCTGAAGATCTTTGTGATCAAAACTGACTCTAACATATAATCAAAATAATGAACTTAATAATCACCAAATTATTTGCAATGTGTTTATAAATAAATATATGTTTCCAGTATGAATTTTAACAATTTTAATGAATCTTCTAATATTTATTTTCTTTGTATATGTTTCCAAAAAAAATGACGGCCAAAGAAATGTTAAAATTATACAGCTGCTGATATCAATACTGTTCACACTATGGTAAGCTTGTTCTACTTCTGCAGAATCTTTAAGCTTTGTTTGTAATATTAATGGTTGATTCTGTGGTATTAAGGTGCTTCTTCATTTTTTATTCAGCTACCTTCAGATTGCATGTCTTCAAGAGTGTTCTGTATGTTCATTATTTCAGTAGTAGCTTTCATTATTTCATTTTCTATACTGATTACCTTTGTGATCATGTCTTCTTTTTTTATCTCTGCGGCAAGAAGCTCACTTGATAGTCTAAGAATGGAATAAATAGCATTTTCAATTATTGGTAAGTAAGTCTTGCATTCCTGCAGTTTGTGTTCAGAAAATACAAGTTTCTGGTACAGATCATTACTTCTGGCCAAAATACTGTTGTGCTCTTCTTTTAATAATTCAGCTGTGTTTTTATCCAACTGTAGCTGCTGTTCAATCCTTTGCAGTTCATTTTCCTCTTGCCTATTTAATGTTTTAAGATTCACTATTGTACTGTCTTCTAGATCTTTCAGTCTTTCAGAAAGTTTTTTCAGTCCCTGATCCATTGTATTGATCTGAGAAATTATTTCACTATGTAAAACCTTGGTATCCAATCTTATGTTGCTGGTATTTGTATCCATCTCAGATGTGCTCGTCTTCCAGGAGTCTACCACCTTTTGAAAGGTTTTGTTAATAGTCTGAAACTTTTTAGAACATGTCTGTTGACTATTTTCAATATACTCTATGAAGTTATGAAGGGTAGACAATTCTTGCTCAAAATTGGTTATCATGGAAACATATGAAGCAACCTCCTGCAGGACACTCGAAGATGCAAACTGCATTTTTAACACAAAACAATGTCCACCTTCACTTACTGTTTGCACGGTATATACAATGTATTTAAATTTTATCTGACTATGAACCTTTGAATGGCATGCCAAAAGCAAACTTCAACAGGACAGAAGAGAATCAAAATAATTTAAAAACATGGAAACATGACAATATGAAGCAAAAATTATTTTAAAATAAATAATGAAACAACTAGTGCTAAATACAGAAAGGCAGATGCAGTAATAGAACAAATAGAGCTACAAAGAAGAGAATTAATAGTGTGAAGAAAGAAAAATAAAAGATATTGTTTTTATTTTATATCATTTGATTGATTATGGCAATTACTCCCTGAAATAAACAAACACTATTTCAAAAGACAAAACTGATGAGCAGAACTCAGCTGTGTTTGGAAGCATTCATGGTCCTAATCAGTTGATGATTTTCCAAAAAATATTCTTAAAACTATACTGAAAAATTCAGATGTTAGAATTAGATCATTCTAAATGTGCTATTAACTCAGATTTAAATTATTGTATAGTAAACTGTTCACAGTGCTCTTAGTAGAAAAAATTGGAAGAGTGAGTGCTATGTACAGTCACTTTAGTGAAAGGCAAGTTATAGATTTAACGAATAATATATTGATTCAAATTGACGATAGCTAAATTCAATGGAAGTTATTTCTAAATTAGAACAGGATTGCAGGTAAATCAATTTTTTTATGTACATTTACTTTGAAAAAGAACCATTAAATCCAATGGCATTTACTTCCAAGTAGGTATAAATAGTACTAGTCTTTGGTATACTTCACTATTTAGATTTCAACCAAACGACTGATTTGAATATTAAACTTAATTTTCAACCTAGATGTGAATTGTTAATGGTTCAATAGATTTTCCTTAAGACTGTAAAGGTCTGATGCAAAGTATCTTGCAGATTTCAGATAGTAAGAAATACCAAGTTTTAGAGTAATATCTATGGTATTGGAATTATTACCTTTTCAGAGATTGTGTTAATTTTATTTTCCATATCTTGAAACTTTACAGCTTCCTCCTTTAATATGTGATATTTCTTTTCTACAGCAGCCAGCTGAACAGACTGTTGAAAAAGAAACCTGAGAAATTTAGAAAAATTAAATGTTTAGCAACAAAACATTTAAAAGTTAAATGTTGCTTCCCCGATTTTAAGATAAATTGCAATAACAATTTAACACATCTGCACAAAATGCTACATAAGGAATTGTTTATACCCTAATATCCAACAAAAATATATAATTCAATGGAATTGTGATGGTTTTACACAATCAGAAATGCTTTTGCTGATTATAAAATAATCTAATTAATAATTTGCTAATTTTGCTACAGATGCATGCATTAATCTACAAGAGCAGGTTTTCAGAGGTGCCTAGAGAAAGAGAATTATAGGAAAGTCTGATCAAATGTCAGCAAACAAGCTAATCCAGTCATTATTTAGATACATATTAAGTATAAATATTTTTATGAACACCTGCTTTGCTGTCAATTAACATTTAAATCTTATTTTCAAGAATAGTGATCAGCTATGAAATTTGACATAACCAGATAAACTGACACAAGGAACTCTTTAGCCAGCCTACCTGTATACATATATCACTAGATTTTTACTTCCAAGCAGTTAAAGGCCATTTCATCTAGACTTCATAATTGAATTATAAATGTAACATTTAACATAAGTACAAATTGAGGATTAATATCATGCTATGAAAAGGTTATTTAAATCTAATGTTTGTTGCTGTTGCTATGATGATAGAAAGGTATGAAATAGAGTTGACATTCCTGGGGGTACTCATAACATGAAAAACTATTTGGCATCACTAGAAAATTGATCAAAAATGTAAGACTGTATTTCAGTGTTTCTAAATGTAAGATCATGAGCTAGGGAAAAAGAATCCTCTGCAGAGGATTGTATTGTATTGGGGATACAGTGTTAGGCAGAACAACAGAAGAAAAGGATTTAGGTGTACTCATAGTAGATGACTGCAAAATGAGCAAACAGTATGGCCAGGCAGCTGTGAAGGCAAACAAAATTCTGGGATACATCACTAGAAGGATCATTAGCAGGAAAAAAGAGGTCTTTTCCCCACGATACCGGGGTTGTCAGTCCACATTTGGAATACTGTGTCCAGTTCTGAAGACCTCACTTAAAAAAAGATATAAGATTGAGCGAGTCCAGAGATTGGCAACAAAAATGGTGCAAGGTATGAGGGACAAAACATCAGGAAAAATTGGAGGAACTGAGTATGTACAGCCTGAAGGACAGAGGGAAAGGGGAGGGGGGCATGATTGAAACTTTTAAATATATTAAGAATGAATAAGGTTCTTAGAGGCAGTATTTTCAATACTAAGCAAAAATCAGGAACACAGGGCATAACCTCAATTTGCCAGGACGGAAGTTCAAAAGTAATGTTAAAAAGTTACTTCAGATCAGTGGACCCACTAGGCATTTTTCTGCCATCAGTTTTGTGTTTCTAAAAGCTGACCACCCAGCCAAAATCAAGAAGTAACATTTTTGTTGTCTTTTCCCATTGACTCATTACTGCAGTCAAGAGGAGTTGATTCTTAGTGATCATGCGTATTTCACCAGAACTGTACAGTACAATTTTCTCTAATTTTGCTTACCATGATAGCCCTAGAATGGCAACAAGAGATAACAAACTTGAAACTGTTTGCAGATCCATCCTCGTGGATTTGGTACTCTTGAAAACTTGTTTCTTTTGTTCATCTTCGTTTGGCTTGGATATGTTTGCTTTCCTCCGCTTGACTTCGGACATGTCTTGATGCAGGATTCATGCACTGAATTGAAGAAGTATGTTAATCTCCTAATAGTTTTTCCTCCAAAGGAGGCTATCTACATTCCCCACACTGTGAACTTTTATCTAGAAGTAAATCCCATTTAGTTCAAATCCATTTACTTCCCACTAAATGTACTTAATGCTAAAACAATATTCCAGCTGTATTCTTGAAACTTGCTTCTGTACTGCTGAGGGTTAAAACCGCAGCGTTCTTTGTATATAATGTTTTCCCTTTCCACCGCTCTCCAGTTTCCCCTTCACACAACACACACACACACACACACACTTCAGTACCTCCACGATAGAAAGTGAAAACACTTGAACTGGTAACCTTCCCAATCGTACTCCAGCCCAGCGGCCAACTCGAAGCTTTATAAGAAGATTCTTCGCTGCCGCCGATCCGAGATGGACCGCCACGTCCAACGCATGCTCGGCGATGCGCGCCCCCTCCCCTTCCGCCATCGCTCTATTCGCGGGGGCCTTGCTAGTCAATGTAGGCGGGGGGGGGGCAGGGGGAGTGACGAGTTTGAACGCGGCGGGAGCAGCCGGGATGCGCGCGCTCGCAGGCTGTCACAGCGGTCTCTTCTTTTTTCCAGGCGCGTGCTGAGCCAGGACTGTGAGCGAGTGGCTCGCGCACGAGACGTCGGCTTTGTTTCCTGGAGCCTCGTGGCTGCCGGGTGGCGGCCTGCTCCGCTTCTACCGAACTACCCTTCCCCGAGGAACTTTAGCCGAGGCTCGCCTCGGCTTTGCCCCGCCCCTCTCGCCCTTTGCCTCCTCGATTCGCCTCGCGAAGGAGGAAGTGGCTGCTAGTTCCCGAGTTCCCAACTGAGGGGGCAACTGAGATGTGGTGAATTCAAGACTGGGAGGCTGCAAGGGCTTCATCGAGGCAGCCCCCTTTCGTTTCCACGAACACTGCTTACGCCTCAGGTAACCGTGCAGCAAGCCTGAGGGCGTGGAGACGGTAGACCAGACAATGAGAGAGAAGGAGAGAGAAAATAAACAAAAGCGCGTTGAAGATGGGTTGGAGATTGCGAGAGGGCAGGGGCCGTCGAGGTCAAAAATAGTGCGGGCCAACTTTAGGAGCGGAGCGGGCAGTAGAGAATTTGCAGCAGGACGTCACCTTTCTTTAAATAGGCAGATCGGAAAAGTCGCCCTTTGTATTTTCGGTTTTAGTTAGAGCTATTCTACATAAAGAAACGTGTTCTGTGTTGAAAAAAATCTATTCCCGTATTTTTAGAAGGCAAGTGGTGTCTTGGATATTGAATATTTTAAGTAGCATGAAATAGTGTAAGTGCATGTTTGAAGTGGAGGCAAGAATTTTTCACCAGATTATTCGTCTGTCGAATATTTAGCTTTCTGAATGTAGTCACGTACAGCAGTAAACACATTTGTACAAGACAGTCCTAATGAACTTCAAGTGGATAATCTCCAAGTTAGTGTTTTGTTGCATCAAATTATTCTAATTTGTTGATATGCCTCTGATAGAGGCAAATTAAACCTACACAATCCTGAAAACTTACAACTCTATCCTCTAGATGTCACTTTCTCTCTTTTTATTGACCTAGAACAGGTTTAAGTTACGGTATTGTTGAAGAAATAAATCTTTATGTTGCATACATTTTTCAGCTAAATAGTCATATTGCAAGCAATGTAACAGTATGTGCTTTATGTGCAATATTTTGTATTCAGAGTATATGTAATTTACTTAAGTATCTTTGTAGGTCTGGTGTTTGATAATGTACATTAATGTACATGCAGTTAGATTCCAATACTTTGTGCTTAAATTTTAAAATGTTACTGCATATTGCTTTATCTTACATTTTACAGTTATATCAAATTTGAACTTTTTTATTAATCTATATTGTTTCTGTAAATCTGTTTCTTAGGCTAATTAGTATTTTCTGTTAAACATTAACTTTCAGATTGCATTTATTTCTGAACCTTGCTTCTTATGGTTATATACTTTGTATTTTATTCTTCTTATATACATGTTTTTGTATAATTTTATTCCTTTTAACATTATAAGTCCCTTGTAAAATGGGTGGCAAACAAATTTAATACAGAAATAATTATTTTTATTTTTCAGTTGTAAATTGCATATATGTGATGTTCTAGAAAGGCAAGTATATCATTTAAAGATATCAAACTAGACTCTTTTCTGACTGTTTAAAGAAAATTTATAGTTGAAGTTAACTTTTATGTAATTCATTAAATAAATGCTAAAATACTTCGGTAAGAACTGCATCTAAATTAAATATTGGGTAATGCATCTTAAAAAATGTCTGAACAACTGAATAATTTGTATATAGGTAGTCCTTAATTAATGACCACAATGGAGGACAAAATTTCTGTTCTGGAGACAAAAATTCTGTTGTAATTTCTGTTGAGTTGGTAACACAGTTAATTAATCTGGCTGCCCCACTGACTTCACTTGTCAGAAGATCACAAAAAGTGATCACATGACCCCAGGACATTGTAACCCTCATAAATAAATGCCAGTTACCAAGCATCTGAATTTTGATCATGTGACCATGAGGAATGGTTAAAAATGGTCATAAGTCACTTTTTTCAATAGTGTTGTAATTTTGAAAGGTCACTAAACGAATGGTTGTAATTAAGTAATATACCAATGTCCCTAGTACACATAATTTTGGATTTATTTTTCTTATTCCTCGTTCTTTATACTATGTATTAGTGCAATTGAAGAGCTTGCAGTTATATGGTATCAGTACAATTTTATAATTGAAAAATATATTTCAGGAAAATTAAATTGAACAATTCTAGGGTTCATTCTAGAGTTCATGTTAAGTAGTCATCTGCCACAATTTTTCACTGGTGACTAGGTATCAGTATTGAAGTCCAAAGGTAGCTGACAACTGTTCAATAATTTATTGTAAGTTGCAATATTAATTAATGTTAGTAATTCAAGGTTCTGTATTATCATTTTTAAAGTAGCATATAAATGATACTCATACATTATAACTGTGAAATTTTCTGTCTTGGTTAGCTCATAGGATTACTCAGCTAAAAGGAACAGTAAACATGGACCAGAGAGCTAGAAGTTATTTGCTAATGAACCGCCAAGCTTTGGAAAGGGATATCAAGACATCTTATCTAATGGATTATATGGTTGCTGATGGTACCTTGACATTGATGGAAGAGGAGAAAGTAAAAGCTCAGGTTATTAAAGGTTTTTGTCCTTTTGTTTATGTTAGAATAGAAATATTGTTAATATATAAAGTTTTAGAACAGTGGGGCATGATGTCATACTTGAGGCCTCATGTGGCTGCACCCAGATTTTTGGTATGGACCCCAGGGATAATCTGTAACCTCTTTCACTCAAGGTTGTATGTAATTCTAGAATCATTATTGCTGTATACAAGGGACTCAGATGATACAAGAGCAGAAAAGTACTAGTAATTATTAGTCTGTTAACATAACAACAATTAGCAAAATTGGGGTTAGACATAATAAATATGGCAAAAGTGAAATAGCAAATAATTACAACTACATTTCTTAAAGTTGTTCTAGCTTACATTTGTGCTAATATAACAGCTTGTTGAAACCAAGTATTAGAGTGCTTTTGGATATTTTTTGACAGAAAAAAATATCAGTATTAAAAATAAAGAAGTTTAGTAACAACATTAAGTGGGATACATATGAAATTAGTTGCACATTTCAATGGGAATTAAGTGGGCATTTATATTTTTACTTTTCAGTAGGAAAATTAATCTTTTTGGAGTAGTTCTATGTATGTCTTCTCAAGAGATGTGACTGGTCTATAATTCTAATTAAATAAAAAAGGTCATTGAGCTCACTATTATTTACTTATTGATTTGGTATACTGCTCCAATCTTAAATTGACAGTAAATAGCATTCATACCTGATGCAGTAATAGGATTAAAAACAAATAGATATAAGAACTATCTATCAAAATGTCCCAGGAATCACTAATAGTCAGTCTCCTACAATATCTCCCCTCTCCAGCAGAATTCAAAGGTTGACTCCCTGAATTAAGTAAATGTAGATTAGTAAATGTAGATTAGCAGCCTCACTCTGGATCTAAGTAATTTGTTGTAACTTTATAATAATTCTTACAGTAATAAAATTAGGTTTAAGTATATAAACAAAATAAACATGTTCTGTTTGAATCAGTCATTATAATGTAGTGATCAAAGTGCTAGACTAGGATTATGGAGATCTGAGTTCATGCCTACCCTTAATCATGATGCTCATAGGGTGGTGTCTTTCGATCAGTTAGTCTCTTTCAGCCCAATTTACTTCATAGTTGCTCTGTGAGGACAAAATTAAACTGCATTCAGCTCTTCAAAAGGAATACCTTATACATTTATCAAATAAAATGCCATATCTATATTGTTATTCTTTCAATTTTCCCACTTTGAGGATTGCAATTCTTTAAAGAGAGCACTCGCTTGAGTATTTTTGACATACAATTTTTGGGGAACTAATTTCTTTTAAGACTTTATAAACAGTTGCCCATATATGAACACTTGTATGTTCAGGTGGTGATAATATATTAATATATATTATCTGCTTAATTATTATACTGAGAACATTTCAATAATCCTATACAGATCTGTGGACATTAATCTGGAAGTACATTCCAATGAACTCAGTGAATCTTAGACTAGATATGATTTTGCCATTTGATTGCAAAAGCGTTTAACTTAGCCAAGAATGTTTTCTAAAATCTAAATAGTGTAGGATTTGTCATCTTTTCTTGATTCAGTCTGATGCATCAATCCAGAAAAAAATATCAAGTGCATACTGAAAGGGTTTCTTTGGCACACAACAATAAAAATTAACACAAATTAATTAAAGAAAAGAATAAAAAGAAAAGAAAGCACAAAAGATAAAAATAGAAAAGAAAGGAAAATTAAGAATGTACTAAAGAAAATGAAAAATACAGAAATGACTTCCGTCTTCACAAGAAGTATAAACAATTTTAGTAACATCACTTTCTAGTGCATATTAAAATTGTAGAATTTTAGAGCTGAATGGTAAATAGATTGTACTAAATCTACATTTTATTCTTTTCTCTACTAGACTACTCGAAAAGAACGGGCAGCTATGCTTCTAAAATTAATTATTGCCAAAGACAATTATGCATATATATCTTTTTATAATGCTTTACAACAGCAAGGATACAAAGATCTTGCTGCTCTCCTTCAAGATGGCCTCCCTATTATTTCACCTTCAAATAAAAATAATTCTGAGGATGGTATAACTTCATATGGTTAGTTATGTTTTTTTTTTTTTAATTTACTAGAGGTTATATGTTGCCCCAGTCAACAGAAATTAATTAACTTCCTGTGTCGTGGTGTGGGTGTACTTTTTCACAGAAATAATTATTAAGAGTGAGAGGTTTGTAATATTTACCTAAAAGTGTTTCAGTCATACTTTTAAGTTAAATTTGATT